AATCCGTAGCCAACATGAGTGGCAACTCGCCGGTGGTGTACTTCTACGACCCGGAGGTCGGGAACTTCCACTACGGTCCGGGACACCCGATGAAACCGCAGCGCCTGGCGGTCACCCACTCCCTGGTCCTCAACTACGGCCTCTACAAGAAGATGAACGTCTATAAGCCCTACAGAGCCACGTATCACGACATGTGCCGCTTCCACACCGAGGAGTACATCCAGTTCCTCAATCAGGTGACGCCCAGCAATGTCACTGAGTTCACCAAATGTCTGTCCAGTTTCAACGTCGGCGACGACTGTCCCGTCTTCGAGGGTCTCTACGACTTCTGTTCGCGATATACCGGCGCTTCACTACAGGGCGCCGCTATGCTCAACAACAACCAGTGCGATATCGCCATCAACTGGTCCGGAGGTCTACATCACGCCAAGAAGTTCGAGGCCTCGGGTTTCTGTTACGTGAACGACATTGTCATCGCTATACTGGAGCTCCTGAAGCACCACCCGAGGGTCCTCTACATCGACATCGACATACATCACGGCGACGGCGTTCAGGAGGCCTTCTACCTCACGGATCGGGTGATGACCGTATCGTTTCACAAGTACGGCAACTACTTCTTCCCGGGAACGGGCGATATGTATGAGACGGGTCTCGAGTCGGGCCGCTATTACAGCCTAAACGTACCGCTCAAGGAGGGCATTGACGACAACTCCTATGCCTTTGTGTTCAAACCGGTGGTCACGGAAGTGATCAAATGCTTCCAGCCGTCGGCTATAGTACTCCAGTGCGGCGCCGACTCCCTGGCCAGCGACCGGTTGGGCTGTTTTAACCTGTCGTTCAAAGGTCACGGAGAGTGCGTGAAGTTCGTGAAGGATCTGAAGCTACCGTTGCTGGTGTTGGGCGGCGGCGGCTATACCTTGAGGAACGTCGCCCGGTGTTGGACTTACGAGACGAGTCTACTGCTGGACGAGACCATCAGCAATGAGATCCCATACATGGAGTACTTCGAGTACTTCGCGCCCGACTTCACGCTCCTGTCCGATAAGGGCGGCAATGATAACCCCCATAACGCCAACTCCCGCACCTATTTGGAGAACATACTGAAGTACGTGTCGGAGAACCTCCG